ATAATTTCATGTACTCCACATTTAACAGAGAAGATAAATTTCAAAATTGTGTTTTTTAAAAAAAATAAAATACTGCAAATTACAAAAATATGAGTAACAACTTTAAAAAAAAATGTTTTATATTATGTTTTTAAAAGCACATTATAAATATAGTTGTATTAACCTTAAACTTTGCACTCCATTTAGGTACTTCCTGAAGCTGCTCATTGCAACTGCATCTATCACTTATCCAAAAATATCGCAAAAAAATACAAGAAAAACATTGAAGCTGTGTTTATGGCAGCAGCTCACGCCTATACACCTTTTGATTTCAATCGCCACATGACAACAATCCAAAAGGCAAACCCCAGTGTTGTCACATATTTAGAGAGCGAAGTCGGACTTGAAAGGTGGTCTCGTCTACATTGCAAGGCAAACCGTTTTTTGACAATGACCTCAAATGCCGCTGAGACCATCAACTCAAACATGAAGGTGGCACGTGAACTCTCAATTACACTCCTACTCGAGTGCTTAAGGGGAATGCAACAAGAATGGAATGTTAAAAACAAAGCGGAGGCTGAAAATACATTTACAACCCTTGCAAAGCTGGGAAACAAAATGCTTGAGGAAAACTACAAGGCATCAATGATTTTCATGGTATGTTGTAAAAAAAAAGTTGTAAATTTTTAATTATGAAAAACTAATACTAACAATGGTTAAATGGAAAAAATAAAAATAAAAATGCAGGTCCAAAAAGCTGCAGGACACGTATTCAAGGTTTCAAATGGCCCACATATTTTCATCGTGGACATTGAGAAAAAAACGTGCACATGTAACAGATTTCAGATGGATGAGCTCCCGTGTGCTCATGTTGTAAGCGTTTTAAGAGTGATTCAAGATTATCCTGAAAAGTATTGTTCAAGGTTCTACCTAACATCCAATATGTTGCATACCTACAGTGATCCTGTTTTTCCGGTTAGTTATGATATTTCCAAAGCATTGCCTCTTATTCCAGATGAAACAAAAATAGTTCCTTCAGTCCATTGTTCTGTTTCTGGAAGGAGAAAGAAAAAAAGGTACACGTCTGCTTGGGAGATCTCCGTGGACCATTCAAGAGGAAAACGTGGTAGAAAAAACATTGAATAGAGTTTGGAGTATATTGTGATCATTAATATTTTATGTTAAACTGTAGTTATGTAGGATTTGTTTTTTGTTATGAAGTTGAGAAGAGTATTTGAATTTTTGTGAATTTATTGTGTTTACGTTTGTTGAAATACATATATATAAAAAAATATAATCAAACGACTATAAATTTGTTTCAAATATGAATATCATTAGAAGAAAGATAAATGTAAATAGCATGATTTAAATTTTTCATCCATCACAACGAATTGTATTGAAAATAAAAAAAAATTGTAAAATACATTTAGTTTTTATAAAATTTGGGTCAAAATAATATATATATATATATATATATATTAAGATTTCTAAAATTATTAATTAAAAACTTTAAAATTGCATAAAACTCAAATATGAAACCTATGAGAACATACAACTTTGTTCTTGCCATAGATGACAAAAAGATTTGTAAATAAAAACAACATAAAACCCAAATATGAACATATGAGAAACTGATATATGTTGTAAACTTAAACTACTAAGAAACAGTTTAATTAGAAAAAATATTAAACCGTCGTTAAATTACAAACATATCTGAAAATGTACATTTGCATAAAAAATAATGAGTCAAAATCGAATTTGAACAGTTACATGAATGAAAAATAAAAAAAAACTAATATTCTCAAAATAACCCCAACTGCATAGAACACCAACCGTATAAAATATAAAATATTTATATTGAAAACACCTGGCACATAAAGTTGTGATTTTAGGAATGATGGTGGAATAAAAAAATATGTACTGTTTTTAGGTGAATAGTTTTCTAAAAAAGCCATACAGTGTACTTAACCCTACAAATTGCCGTGAATAAAGTTTGTCAAAATTTATTTCCTTCATTTCCTTAATTAAACTTTGTCGAGATAAAGCCCAATAGCCAGATTATTATGGGCCTATATTATATCTTCAGTTCACAGCTAATAACAAAATTTCATGGTCATACAAAAGAAATTGTCAACAAAATGATGTTTTGCCTTGTATTTTTCATTTCTCCAGTAATTATAAGGTCCCAATTATTCAACGTATATACAATTTTTTTTTAGTAATTAAAAGAAGGGGAATTTTTTTATCCCTCCTACACGTTTCAAAAATAATTACAACTTTATTACATACATGCAATTAATTGTGACTTTCCCTATTCATCTAATTAATGCATAATGACAGTTACCATTTAAATCTAACCACTCTCCACGTGTATTTAATTTTTCTGATTCACTTACCATACCAATTCACCTTTCTCTCCTTATTTTGCCCGTCATTTGCGTCCATTTTCTAAAAAAAAAAAATAATAATATTTATTCTGCAAAAAAGTTACACAAATAACCACACAAAAAAAGTACTCCCTCCTTTTTCAAATAAATGTCGTTTTGACTTTTTTGATTCATCCATTTTGCTATGTATCTAGACATATTAATGTCTAGATACATAGCAAAATGGATGAATCAAAAAAGTCAAAACGACATTTATTTAAAAAAGGAGGTAGTATATATTTCTTATATACTATACATATACTGATCATATACTGTATATATACCACAACACAACACAAAACAATAGAGGCGCGATCGATCTTTTTTTTTTTAAGAAAAGTTACGCAAACATAAAGGTTGAATAGATGTTGATGGATATAGTAACATAATATCTACTGAATATATACTAACATAAACGCAATATATACCATCATATACGCAAATCGTAATAATGATATATGTATTGTATATATTTTCCATGATTAAACTAAATATAAATCATACATATACCGAAAATATACTAAATATAAACAATACATATAACAGGGGGGGCGATACAAAACAAAATACAATATGAGAAGGATGAAAATATACCAAAAATATACTGAATATACGTTCTGAAATTCATGAGTTGTTTATGGTTGTCCATATTCTTAAACATGATCTATTAAATGAATTAAATATCGTATTTAATGTGAAAACGGAATTATTCATAACTAGTACGAATCCCGTGCGATGCACGGGTAAGAAATATTTATTAGTATTTATAAAAAAAATATGCATTAAATAATATTTTATAAATTAAGAATATTGAATCAATATGTAATACAATTTACCTATATTAGTTTTTAAAAATGTTATACGAAATTTGAATTGTACAAAATTACATAAAATATGTATATTTAAAATTAGTGCACAACACATACAATGAACATAACTAATAATAAATTATATTATATTCATTTCAAAATAATGTTATTTTAAAAAAATTATTCAAAATTTCGATTTGAATACAATGTGATTCAATAAAATAAATATTTTGGTGAAATTTTATCATATATTTAAAATTACTTGCTAAAGAGATCCGAAAAGTGGTGCGGAAAGGCTGGGCCTGCAGACGATTTGACCGACTATGTGAATAATACGTATAATTATAAAACTTATATTGTTTCATTAACTAAAAAAATGAATTATTTTCGTATGACCTGTCCAAATCAAAAAAATTAAGTAGTTAAATAATTTATTAAATTATAAATAATTGAATAATCATTTGCATCCAAGTTAATATTAGCATAAGTTATGAATAACTACTTATTTGATCTTTAAATTTAGAATCTAAATTTGGACTACACAAATAAACTTTTTTATATATTTCATGTATAATATATATATATATATATATATATGTATTATATATATCTTGCATTTTTTTTGGTTTTTTGTCAGTTACTTTATCGTTCAAAATTATCAATTAATCTGTAGAATTAAATTATTTATTTTATTAACCAATGTTTGTTCAAAGATCATTATAATTTTCTAGAGGAATATATCAATTTGTCGAATTATCATCAATATATTATGACAAATTATTATGCGAATATGATAAATTTTAAGAATCACATCACCTTAATTTTATTAGAATGTGGTTCATCCACATTTTATTTTACATTCTAATCAACCAATTAAAAGATGAAAGAGAAATATTATTACCATTTTCAAAATATCTAATTATTAATTTTTTTTTGTTTCTTATTTATATTTTTTTTTATTTTTGTCAATTGACAATATTATGTTTGATCACATTGTGCACGCAAATAATTTTTTAGATTTAAAGTTATGAACTTAAGAAATATCTTATATGATCTATATAAACAATTGACATTTGTCAACATTTATGCATTGTAAATGCTCTTATTTTGTTTTAAATATTTTCAAATATACTTCTATCCATACCAAATAAAATTCATACTATTTAAAATCGAACATTTTGTACCAAAAATAAATCACCCATTTTATACCACAAAACCGGACATTTATTATTTACAACACATTTTCTACGGAAAGATAAAAATGGCTATCAGATATTTAAAATAAAATCATCAACTTTATACCAAAATTGGATTTATTAATTTTGTCAACTTTATACCATAAATTAATTAAGTAATTTCTAAAAGTCATTTCTACATTTTGTCCAAAATATTTTTAAGCAGCACATAAATGTTATTTATATTTTTGTATTTGGTTATCTTGTCTACGAAGGAAAAGATAATCTTGCAACTCTACTATGTCAACAAAAATATGTATGAAAAATAACATAAGTATTAATTTATTATGTTTTACTCAATACATGAAATATAATATAGATATAAAGATTAACGATTAATTCTCTATAATTGCTCAATCAAGTCTATATATTTAAACTAAGGATTTCGAAAGTTTCTATAATAACCCCATATTTGTTTCCATAAAACTAAATCATCCTAAATTTAAATTCAACTAACAAAGGAATAAGAGTAAAGATTTGACTAAAAAAATTATGTCCATTAATTACATTGATTTTATTAATTTGCTATTTTTAGGCAATAATTAATGAAATTTGCGAGAAAATGTTTCTAAAAATGAATTATGTTAATCCTTATTATATATTAACTAGTACAGAGCCCGTGCGATGCACGGGGTGCACAATTTTAAGGTCATTTATTCATTCTTATAATTATATAAATGAATAAAAAAAATGTACAAGATATATATAGTACGTGACATGTAATAGGCCAAAATGTGAACACGGGTGATGCACGGGGT